ATTGCAAATTTGTTTTAGCTTTGCCTAAAACAAGCTTTTCTTTCGCAGCAGATTTATAGGAAACATGATTTAATGTATATATTTTTTTCCCTGTGAATGTTATCGATATCATGAAATTCTACTGCTGATTAGGACTGGGTGTATCTGAACTATCCCCTTCCTAACCATCCATTTGTTCTAGTCTAATTAATTAAACAAAGACATGGAATGGTCAATATTCCTTTGTTAAAGTGTATTTAGAAACAGTCCCTGTGGAAAAGGAAAAACCAATTGTTTTCATTTTTGCAATATAAAATGGTTTTAGGATTGGAGAAGTGAAGGTTGTTTTTCAAAAGCTCTGTGCATAGCTTTTGCTGATCATTGTTTTCCCCTTTTCCACCTTCCTTCCCAAAATGAAGATGGGTATGTCTATATCAGGAATCATGTCCTTGGTTCCTTTAGACCTTCTCTAATGTACATATCAGACCTGGGATGGGTTCAAGGTTGTCTCTGTTTAAACAGGCAAGGCTGGCATTGTTCAGAAGGCACCTGACATAAGAGGAGAAGTCTCTGGGCACTGCTTTCATTGCTTTGTTTTCTTCCCAATTGCTATGGAAGCCATGTGTGGCCCTAGAGAGGAACAGCATTCTGAGACAGTCGTGGCCTCATTTGAATTTAGAGGAGTGGGTTTCAATGGGTATTTTGGCATGTACTGAGGAGCCTTCAAGTTAGTTCAGAGGTTGCTCATAAAATGAGACTAAGAGGTAGGAGGTGCTATGCAGATGGTTGCTTCTACTGCTGGCAGAAAGCTTCCTCAGTGAAACATGAAAATGTGTCTTCTCTGGCTTGCAGCAGGTGACTCTAAGAAACTATTTCTTGAAGCTTGTATATTTGAGTTATAGACTAAATTTCTTTGTCCAAGGCTTCCTGCTTGCCTTCCTTTTTAGTGGTATGTTTTAAGGTAGGATCATAAACATGAAAAAAATATAAAAAAAAAGCTTCACTGAAAGTGCTGATGACAAGTCAGACCAGAACTGAAAAGAAGCATCTTCTCCTTTACCAGTCAGTTTAAGCAGTTGGGAAGATGTGCTTCATCTGTCCTGCAAACTGCACTGAAGCCTCTGTTGATTTCATTAAAACACAAAGATTCATAGGTTATGAAGCCTGAAAGAGCCATTATGATAATCTAGCCTGATTTGCTGTATAATTAATTCCTGTCTCACTATGTTTTTTAGAGAAAACAGGATACTATTTTAATTTAAAATTTGCCAGTAGCAGAGAACACAATATAACCTGTAGTAAATTATTTCAGTAGCAAATTACCCTCATGTAAAAATAAGCCATAATATTTTAAAATGTGAATTTCTGTAACTTCAGTCTCTAGCCCCCAGATCTCATTGTCCCTTTGTCACATGCATTGAAGAGCCCTCTCTTGCCAAATTCCATTTCCTGCACAGGTATGTGTAGATTGCAATCAAATCACATTTTAACCTCCACCTATTAAACAGACTGAATTTGAATGTTCTCTACTATGGGACATGCATTCCAGTCATTTAATTATATTGCCTCCTCAATCTTGAACCTTTGGTTTAACAACTGAACTGTCATTATCAGAAGCTGCGTTAGCATTTCTCCATTCCTGCCCAGGATTCACATTGGTTTTAGACCCAAGCATTATTTCTATCCCTGTATTTTATTGTTATGATGAGAGTTCTGGTGTACTTGCTTATACATGATGTTGATGTCCAAATGTGCCTGTCAATAATACCTGAAGTCACCTATGGAAACACTTGCACTTTTTCCATAAACAGGTGCTTTTTTATATTTCTCATGCTAGGTGTTTTGTTTTGGGGTTTTTTAAAAGAAAATAATTTAGAACAACATTTGAATAACAGAGATTCAAATATGGGGTGGTGGATATGTTTCTTTGTAAAGATTGAATTCAGAACTCTTATCTATTCAACAGTGTTTCTCATCTCCTCCCCAGGTCATCCTTTGTGCTTGTTTTCTTGGTCTCTTTATTCTTGGCCTGAGATTCTTCAGTTTTAGTCTTTTTATTGATTACAACTAACTTCATGTCATTTTTTTCTGGTTCCTTTGAAAGCATTCTGTCTCAAGGATTCTCCAGCTGTGGTACTTGTATGATTATGGAACACAAAGCAGTCAGCATCAAACCTCAAACTCAGAGGCAAACCCTCCGCTTTTCTGCAGGAAAAGTTGGGACCTGTTACTCAATATCAAAGAGGGAGATGTAACCTGTATGTGTCTCAGCTGTGTGTGGGAGCTGTTTATGTGCATCTGGTACTCCCTCTACCAGCAACCCTCAGAGCTTGCTGATAGCAGATCACTGAGTCATGGCTAGAGACAGCCCAGCACCACCCATCAATCTTATGTTGGGTACTGTGCTCCCTGCCTGCTCCTCTCATGTGCGGAGAGACGGGGTCAAGATGCAGTTTAGAGGAGTGTTGCTTTGAGCAATTGTTAGTGGTGTCCCATAAGGGCAGCTCTCCTACCTTAGGATCATTAAAGCCACAGCTCATTCAGGCCTGGCATTCTCTTGCCCACCAAAGCAGCTTCACGCTGTGGTGAAACCAAAATGCAACATTGCACCAAAGTTGTTAGTCCCTCGTGGGCCTGGAGAGCAGTGAGACCCTGCCCTGAGTATGCTGTCTCCAGCAGTGGAGGGTGCAAGTGCTGCTCAGACAGAGCACATGACCGTGGCTGAGGTCAGGGGTGCATTCCCTTACATTCCTGCAGCAACCACTGCTGTTGGTTTACAATTGCTAGAAGACACACTCCTTCCTTTTTCCTTTAGAATCAGTTTGTGGACTTGCCATCCATTGTTATTTCTGGTTCTTTTTGCATCTTCGCTTGCACCCTACTTCCATGACCTCCCCTGACTGCAAGTTCTGGAAGTTCACTACCCTCTGTGTAAATAAGTACTTCTAAAAATGCGTTGAAATGCTGATTTCATACAAGTTTCAGTAAGTGCCTCTAACTCTGTTATTGCTGGGTTTGGCAAAGAGCCGTTCTACATTAACTTTCCTCAGTCTTCTGTGAACTTCAATCATATTTTTCTCAGTCCTCTCCAAATATGAACTTGGTCTTTTCAGCCCATCCTCATAAAGCATCCTGTTCCATCCTTTTAGTTGCTCTATTTATTTCCTCTTTCTCCTTGAGTAGCAGAGACAGGATTTCATGCAGTGCTCAGAACTAAAGTCTGACTGAGGTGCACCTCATTGTCTGGCAAGAGAGAAGGCTCTAATGCACCCCCTTGCTGTGTCAGTGGAAGGAGGTGTATGGTCTCTCTAATGAGAACATTTGGCATGATTAGTCTGTAGAATAGAACTACTACAGTCCCATAAATTGAAAATTAATTTTATCCCTGTTGCAGATATTAATAGCCTTGATGTTTCTGATGCCTGTGTGAGGGCAGAGCACATAATTAGGAGTTGGAGCAAAACAAGTTATTGTGGGTCAATACCGTCCTCTGGTGGGAAGAACTAGAGCTTTGTGCCATTTCTCCAAATGGGATTTCACAGCTGGCTTCTCCTTTCACTTTGTGTTTTGCCTTTACAACAGGAAAATCTGACTGCACTGGGAAAATTCTCCTTTTATGCTTAGAGAAAGATGGAAATTCTTTGCTAGCTATGAATGTACTGAATCGTGATTTTCATTTATTTTTTCATCCTGAAGTTACCTAATTTATAAGCTTATCCTTCATTATTTCTCTCATTTGCCTTTTAATATTTACTGCATTCACATTTCTCTGACTTTCCTGTCCTAATAGTAGAACTAACTATGCATATCTGCTTTCCCTTCTATTTTCATAACAGACTGCTGACAACTCATCCTAATAGGATTTTGAAAGCAGAAATCAAATGTGTGTATATATATGCTATATGTGACAGACACGAAGTATTTTAGAATAATAACGCCTTAGAAGAAATTAGAGTCTTCAGTAATATCACTGGAAAGAATTCAGTAAAAATTGTGCTAATTGCAGAAGTGGTTTTACTTGCTGTACATGCCAGCTCTGCATTTAGCAAACATGGAAGGTGATTGAGAGAAAGTACAGTTTAAAGTATTTCAATTTTGAGCCTTCTCCAGTTCCTGCCTCTGTGAGAACGGTGTGGGGCAGCAAAGAGTCTGCTTTCCAGGAATTAATTCTGTATCTGAGAGAAAGAGAAGAGTAGGTTTGGGCTCCTGAGCAAGCCAGACATGCTCAGGAGTGCTTGCCTATTTGAGACCCTTCTCTTGGCTAATTTCAATCCATGTAGAAACAACAGAGCCCAGAGTTCTGGTCCTTAACCCAGATAAAGTGAGAGTCCAGGCACTGAAAATGTACAGGTTTTTATATGCTAGCACAGAAATTGTTGGTTTCTTAAAGCAAGCTATAGAGATATTTCCATGGCAAGTTCATGTCAGTAGTGATCTAAGATTTCTTGGTCAGAAAAATTTCAAGTCTTTGCTATTTTTTTCTTTGGGACCCACAGGGCAATCATTAACAGTTCACAGCAACTTGCTGAAATTTTTCTGCATCTCTCTCCTAGTAGTTAAGTAGGCTTATAGGGATAATAGAGAAATGACAGTGGTGGTACCAAGTTTCCTGCTGTGGCTAGTAGCGATGGACATGGAGGTTACACTTTGTTATGTATTTTGTATGGGATTTATGCAAATATAACAGCATGATACCAGACACACACTGGATTTTATGTAGAGAAGCTTTTACAGGCAAGTGGGCCTGTGGTAGAGTTAATTGTTCACACTGCCCTTCAGTTAAATATTCTCTTCTGACTGCTTATCTGATCTATAGTCATTGCAAAGTACCCATTGCTGTCATTTCTACCCACACTTCTGGTTCAGCTCACCCCCTCTGTCATGATGTCAGACTCTTGCACTCTCTCCTTTCTTCTCCTCACTGCCTTTTGGGAAAAGTTTATCTCCCATGGCTGAAAGTAATTGGGGTATTTGTATTGTATGCAGGATTGATGTATGATACTTTTCCTTGTGTCTGGCAGGTTGTTTATAAGAATAACGACATTCGTCTGGAGCTGTCTCGCTTGGCACGGATTGGTGATACTAAGATGAAGATCTATGGGGAAGTGAAATTCGTATGTGAAAATGTGGCTACGCTGGATCCCATCAGCTTTGAGACACCTGAGGCCTATATTAGTCTGCCTAAGTGGAATACCAAAAGGATGGGCTCCATCTCGTTTGATTTCCGAACCACTGAACCTAATGGACTGATCCTTTTCACGCACGGCAAGCCTCAGGAGAGGAAAGATACCAGAAGCCAGAAAAATACAAAGGTGGACTTCTTTGCAGTTGAGCTTCTAGATGGAAACCTCTACTTGTTGCTGGACATGGGCTCTGGGACCATTAAAGTCAAGGCTACCCAGAAGAAAGCCAATGATGGAGAGTGGTATCATGTGGATATTCAACGAGATGGAAGATCGGGTAGAGTTATAACTTTTTCTTAAATAGATTAATATTTCAGATTCAGACCTAGCATGTATTAATTCTTAGAACATTCAAAACCTATTAGATATGAGTCACCTCCCTAACAAAGCTTAGTGTTACTCCAGTGACATTTATCCAGCAAGGCAAAGATGTGAATGGTTTTCATTAAATGTTTAGTGTGAACTTTGGCACAGAGGCAATCCATTAATATTTTATTCACAATCCTCAGATATTCTGGACCTATCTTCTCAATTGCATGCATAGTTACAATCATGACTTTTTTGTAGGCCATGGTAAGGTTTAAGGTCTTTCAGAACCCTTGTTCTCAGTTTGAGATATTTTTACTGAGCTACTTTGGGTTTCTGCATTTGGGATCTTGTCGTGAGAAAAATGAGAGTAATGGGAACAACCAGTAACAAAATTATGGCAACAAATCAACATTTTCATCCCATTCTGTTTCCTTTAGTATCCTGTAGTTTTGAGTTAGGTTTCTTTACTCTTTTGGATGAAATATTTTAGTCTTAAAATCTGAGACAGTGTTCAGTGGATGTTTCTTTTCTTTCTTTGGCTTTCTCATTTTCAAATATGGGTTTTAGTTTATTTGTAAAAATACACCTACCATGCAATTGCCAAGCAATATTTTTATTGTTTCCAGTGCAGAATTTCAAGCTAACATACTCATGATATACTCTGAAATTGCGGAGAAAAACAAAAATGCTCAAATACTGTAGTTTCATCTAGAGAATAACAATTGTACTTCAATTTTTTCAGAACCATTGGGATCTCAAAGCCTTCACTTCAAAAGGAATTTTGCTTACATTTTCCGTGGATTTGAGATTCATCTGGTGATCTCCAGATGATAGTTTTAGGTCCCTAATTTTATGTTTCTGGTTGCTGAATACCATCAGTATAGGGAATGCAGTGCTAGAATTTGCTTCCCTTGAGTTTTCAGAAGAGCTGGCTTTGAGATACCATGCAAGGCCTGGCTGTTTGAACAGGTCTTTGCCTGAAGCTATTTTTTCCTTTGATGATGTGAGTAGTTTCTTTGTATTTGCTATGGTGCTCTGCTTGGACTTAATATGTGTGGTTATATATTGCTATCACCTAAAGACATCAATAGGAGCATTTTACAAAGGAAGCCATAAATAAATAAATGCAGCTTTGATTTCTTTAGAATTGCTAAAATTTAATTAACTTCCAGGGATAAACTCAATTAGCTGTTTCGTACTGACTTCAGTTTTGCTTTGCTCACTTGGGGACTGTCTCATCCCTGAAGAAGCAGATGCAGAGGGAGAAGAGAAAGAAATGAGATGGGCTGTATACAAAGAATATTTGCAAAACCTTACGAAGAGGGACACGTTCATTTGGACATATTCATGGGAGGGTGTGACAGACTCACTGCTACTTGATGGATGACACTGTAGGACTGACTTGTTTGTCACTTGGCAGGGAGGTTTATGATGATCTGGACACTGATTAGAGGTGACAGATTTTGAATTAGAAACAGTTTTCTCAAGATGAAAGAATGTGTTCGTACGATGTCTTTTTTTTCTTTTTATTTAGTTGTGTTCTCTGCTCACAATGAATATTTGGTTAATGATTCTAATGACTGCTGCCTTGTTTCCTGAGAAAACCAGGATGCTGGCATTGATTTCTTCACATTGTACCTTCAGTCACTATTATCCAATGACACTTTGGATAAGTGTGAGAAAGGAGTTCAAGACCTCTTCTTGTTAAGTCCTTGGCTTTTCTTCCACATATGGACTGGAGAATGGTTACACCTTAAAGATT